GAAGAGGGCGCCACCAAATTTGGAGGACACTTTTTTAATTGGCTCAAAGAGAGAAGTGGCCCATCTTGTTATGTACTATCATTGGTCGAACTAAGTCGGCGCCAGCCAGATTTTCCTCCATGTTGGAGTAAAAGCTGCCATTTTGGAACGATCCAACCGAATTCGTTTACAGACCTTTAAAAAAAAACTGTTAATTTTGAAGGTCATAATTGAATATAGTCAAATCAGACCAAAACAGTACGGTAGCTTAATACCCATTCTTGGAGAATAGAAATCTGGCTGGCACCAACTCACTCAAATAAATTCAATGGCTGTGTGGGCTCTGCATTATATCCAGTGCACACTTCCAATTTGATCAATTCGATTCATTCCAGGCCAACCAGTGTATTTCAAGGACATGAGGTGAACTACTGACTGTGAACAGCCAATCACAAGGCTTGTTTATGAGTCACAAGGCCGAGGTTTTGTTGGTTTTTTTCTTGTTTGTTTGTTTGTTCAGCCTGCATTTTTATTGCCTTGTATATTTTTAGTGAACGCATTGCCAAGCTCACTGCGGGACTGTTTTTCACATAGAGATTTTTATATGTTCATATATCATAAAACTGTATTTTACGTACACATGTCCATTAATTTTCAAGATTTGAGGTCTTTCAATGTAATGTGCACTGATAATCTTCTTTAGAAAATGGAAATGCGCAGTAAAAATGCTATATATTATTATTATTATTTATGTACATGAATTTCTCCCAATGTTTTCCTGCTTTGGCCCGTGAAATTATTCCACAACGCTAAATAAATCTGGCCGCATCAAGGACACGCTTGTCTTTTCCTGGTGTAGATGTAAGTGGTGATCATACTGCACATTGCTGAACAGTCGTCCATTCGACAAGTCGCTACCTTAGAATTACAAAGTTCTATCTGGCATTTATGGCCATTTTGAGTGACTAAAACCACGAGGTAAAATGTTCTATCTGCTCTGTCAAAATCGTAAGATTATACGAAGTCGTTATCAAGATATTCAAAGAATTGGTTTCGAAAAAGTTTGACCATGTTGTGAAATTCCAAACTGTCGACGTCAAATTTTTCCAAAATAGGCACTGAGCAGGCAGGACTTTTCATTCTAGGGTAGCGTAGGTTTGAACTTAGCCAGCGCTACAGAGACGAGCAGACGCCCTGTAATTTTTTAGTCCTTCCAGTCGGTTTTAGCACTTTGAAAATTGTTTTTCTCGTACAGTTGTCACATAATAATATAATTATCGCTGACCGCTTGTTCACACGTACTAATCCCAAAATTTGTATTCTTTTCATTGCTTAATTTATATTACAGGTTGCATATACTCGTAAAATATTTGGTCAAAATTCAAATTCTAAAATAACGAAAAAGCAAGAAAAGGCACATAAAATTAGGAACAAGTTGTCAAAAAATTGAAATAGTGGTTTCTCTCTCTTGAAAAGAGAAAATTGGTTTCTGTTCTTGGGACAAAATTTGAAGAACTTGCTGACATTATATTCTTCTAAAATAAACTATAAGCATGACTTGTTTGTCATTCATTTGACTCCTACGATTCTTGCAGTGTGAAGTTCCTTCCTTCATTGACTCAACACTGTCACGAGCTTAAGTGCGTGTAACATTATGCATAGCATAGTCACTCATCAACAAGTTAGAGCGCTCTGTATCAACCCCCCCCCCCTCCCCTCAACTTAAAAACAAACAACCCGTGTTGAGAGAGGGAAAATATTAAATGAAGTACGAAGAAAACAGGATGTGTTAATGATAAGGGAAAAATTATGTGAAGAGCAGGATGGATTATTTGTGAGGAGAGGGGGGAAGGGG